CTGCTGAATGTGTGTTATACAACAATTTCAACCATACGGTTTACATCCATAATGTTCATCTCTCTTTCTGTTCATTCTTTCATTTCTCACCCCTCCATTCTTCTATAAACTGCTATTACTGTTCCACAAAATGATTTAAATTTTATTTACCCTTTTATTTTTAGTTTTTACTGATTATCATTTCCCTCTTACCTTCCATGAACCAGGTGAAAAAAAAAAACTACTAGGACGTTGTTATTACAAAGCCGATGCGACACAGTGAGTATTAACTGAAAGGAAATTACGTGGATTTTCTTAAAAGGATAATCTTTTTTGTACAAAGCTGTTTTACAAGCACACCAAATTCATTGAATTAATCATCGTATGTCTGTGTCAGGACAGAACGTCTGTTGTGTTCGGCCTTTCTGCATCCTAGTCCATGAGGACACTCATGCAAGACTGGCTATGTGTGTCTGCTTCAGCATTTAGCTGCGTGTGGTTTCAAAGCTGCTCTTGAGCAGCTGCAGTACTGTCAAACAAGAGTTTCCTATTTCAGTTTCACTTTGACAAAGGGAAGCCATAGACTGTTTAAGGACAGAATACAGGTCATTTAGGCCTCCCTCCACTAAGAAAGGCCTAATGTCTTTTCTGGAACTGATCAATTACTGTCATGCATTGATTCCAGACTGCTCTTATTATGACAAGATTTTGAGAATGTGTTGCAAGTTGGATGTTCCTGACACAATGACTTGTTACTCCCAGCTCTCAGGTCCAGATTATAGAATGATCCTATCTCAGGTATAAGGGTCAAAATAATGAGTGGAAGAGGCAAGGGGCATTTCATTATTGTGGAAAAGACGGGCATTGGATCAGAGAATGTGGGAAAAAGTGCTCTTATGAAAGTCAATCTCAAAAACCATTTCAGACTCAGACAGAGGCCCTAAAACACACACCAGACAACCTGTTGTCTGGAAACCGATGAATGCATAGGGCTGCCCATAGAATGCACGTTGTTGAAGGTACACCTAGTTTGACAATGCTTATGGAACTGTATGTAGATGGCAAAAAAGTTTCTTGTAGACACTGGAGCAACACTTTCTTCAATTAGTGTTAAAGAATATAATGGGCCAGTGTAAGGTGCCAAATTTAATGTTTAAAAACACCTCAGCTGTCAGTAACCTGTCCAAATCATTGGGGAATCCCTAAATCATTATGAGCAGAATACAAGGACCAAGTGGCTCTATTAAATTGTGTACCATTTAAAACGATTGAATGGACCACAGAAATGACAGAGGCCCTCTCAGCACTGAAACGGTACCTGCGCTCTGCTACAGCAGTAGGCCTGCCTAACTATACACAGTCTTTTCATCTGTACATGCATGAACATTGTGGGGTCACTACAGGTGTGCTGGCTCAGCAGCATGGGGGCCACATTAGACCTGTTGCATATTTATCCAAAACATTAGATGTAGTGGCACGAGGGCTGCCTGCTTGTTTGCGGGCTGTAGCTGCGGCTGCCCTGATGGTACTGGATGCAGAAAAAATCAGCCTTTTCACACCCAATGACATTGTACACTTCACATCAGTTGCTTACTATCCTTAACACCATGTCAGTGCAGCACATGACAGCACAAAGGGGCAGTGCTTGCGAGAACATTTTGACATGAACTAGCAATTTGTCTATTGAAACCTCTTCACCACAATCTCCAGCATTTCATTTGCATGAAATGTTGTCTCTCCCTGATTCTGAATTTCTGCCTGAGGCTCACAACTGTTGTGCTGACATCATAGAAGAGTCTGCCTGTCATGCTGATTTGTTGTTGTCATCATTAGAGCATGGTGAAAAGGTTTTTGTAAATGGCTCATGCTGTAAGCCCTGTGATGGTGTTTTTTCTATGTGGTTATGCTGTATGTCAACTTCCTAATTTGGTAATTGAAGCACACTTCCTTATCAGTCAGCACAGATGGCAGAACTTGTGGCCCTCATTAGGGCATGTACTCTAATTAAAGATCGAGACGGCAGCATCCTGACTGACAGCAAGTATAGCTGGGGTGTGGCTTATAATTACAGCTGAATCTGAGCCCAAAAATGAGCACCATGAGTTCCCTAGTTTGGGAGAGGAAGCAGCTGGTCATTTTCTAGCAGATGCTGTTGCGAAACACGCTGTGAAAATGGCCCACCATGTCCGTACATTAGTCAACAAAAATTGTTCTTTCTGTTTTCTCTCATCCATTGTCCACTGATCCTAGACTTATTGACATTGCCATAATAAAAGAAAATGCCTCACAAGTAGATAAGGACTACTGGTCTTCACAAATTGTAATGACTGTTCTGATGGCATTTTGACCTGCCCTGAGGGTCACACAGCACTGCCAAAATCTTGCTTCTGTCAGTGCAGTAACCAGAACAGCTGTTTTGACTAATGCACAACCAAAATGGATCCATGCTAGTAGAATAAAAGGGCCCCCCAGATAGATTGAGTGGTAAATATTTGGCTGTGTGTCCCTTTTGTTGTTTTTCTCTTCTTCTCTCTCTGTCAGTTTCTCAGGAGTGGATGTGCAGCCCTTTCCGGTTACAAAGAGGGGTGAATTGCTCTAGGCGGACCCCAGCTGATGAGGACTGCAGTCCAGACAGATCATCACCTCTATCCCTGGTGAATAATCAGAACTTGTTCCGGGCTCCCACCTGCAGTCTCACTCTACCACCAGGACTGTGGCAGAGCCATAGAAGACCCCACCGCCTGACCGAAGCTATCGTGAACCTGCTAAAGAAGAAGGGAAGTGACTACTGTTCGTGGACTTGGTCCTGTTCACGATTCCAGACAGCTGATCCTGATCCTGACAGATTTCCTTATTTTCGTGTGACAGTATGTTGCTACTATTTAAACCCTAGAAAACCAGATCAAGTACTGTGCAAAGTTTCATATTGTGGCTATCCTTTAAACTGAATTGTCTTCAATATTTGTGGTTCCAGACTTTCTCTCTTGATCCTAGATGAACTTCAAGGAGACAGGAGTGATCAAGATGAGTTACTGATGACGTTGCGGGATGATGTGCTGGCAACCTCTCTCCCAGTGACCTACGCTGCCTGTCCCCTCAGCACAAAGTTGCAAACAGGCCAGAAGACCGTCTGCATACTTCTGCATGAGTGAACCTTTTAAATAATTTTGCTTTTTTGCTTATGTTAGAGTTATGTTATACCTTGTGCTTGTAATCTAATGCTCTGTTGAAAGATCTTCTACCCTTGCCACGGCATCTGTCCATCTGTTGTCCGAAAGAGTTTCTAATAGGTCTCATGAATACACTGGCTATGGGTCTATTGATGGCTTTTTTGTGTAAATTTAGACAGTTTCCATTTTTAGATTTGGTTCTCTCTGTAACATTATTCTATTTTATTTTGTGTGCTGCATGCTGACATGGTTTTCACTAGTCACAAGTTGGTTGACTTGTGGAGTAAATGCCCGAGCATGCTCAAATCCACCTGGGAGTGTGAATATCCTACGCCAAAACGAAGTTGGTAGGCTGGGACTTTTCCTGTACTAACTTGGCCTTGTTGCAGGTTTTTCGCCCAGCCCTTGTGGTGGACACTCCTTTTTAAGAGTGTTGTTCCTAGGTAACAAAAGAGGGGAATGAAAGGAAATTCCATGGATTTTCTTAAAGGATAATCTTTTTTGTACACAGCTGTTCTACAAGCACACCAAGTTCATTAAACTAATCATCATATGTGTGTGTGTCAGGACAGAACGCCTTGACCTGCAAGTACATTTCTTGGCAGCCACGTCTTGTTCAGCCGTGGTTTCCTGTTTCTTTCACACCTCACCTGCATATTGTTCTTAGAAATCTTGTTTATCTCTGTACTGACCAATTGCCAGCCATGTCTACTTCTAAGTGTATAAAAAGGCCCTTCTGTTCAAAATAAATGAGTGTGTCTCGGAAATTTGATGCACGTGTGTGTGTGTCTTTGCTTCTTGCGCACTCCCGGAGCTCCGATGGAGAACAACCAGATAGAGAGAGGTCAAGGTGGGATCAGACAGGGCAAAGGAAACCATTCCTTACATTAGCCAATATTTTTATTTTATACAGCAGTGGGAAAAAAGGTGAAGAAGTTTTTAATGGAAAAAATTGAAGCAGGAAACTTTTTTTTGACTATTTTCCATATTTTATGCAGGCAGAAAAAATGAATAAAGTGGTACTTTCTAATTTTTTTCCTATCTTATCTTTCACAGCTTCTGTGTAATATCTCCTTTGCTGATTTCCTAAATATTGTGCCATTAGTGAGCTAGTTAACAGTGAACTCTAATGCTTGTTGTAGTATATTATGACACAATTCAACAACTTCAAACTGTGTCTCTGCTAGCCGGCAGTGTTAAGGATTACATTTTGCCCTCATGAACACTCACTCAGTGTTTTTACGCTGGTTATGACCATGTACACAGATACTCAATAACTCATAATGAAGAAAACAGCAGTTTATTAATATCTCTTTAATAATGTCTCTCAGGCAATGTTTAAAGTCATAACTAAAATTAAAACAGTCATAGCAGGCAGAGAAAATTATTCATAATGCAAATTGCTTTGTATGATAGAAATGCTGTAAGCAGAAATACACAAAGTATTTTGATTTTGTAATACTGTTACTAAGAGGTTTACATGTGAGATTATCAATGCTCAGATTTCCAGTATTTAATTAGCACTTAAAAACATTTACAGTACTGTGTAAAAGTTTTAGGCCTCCATTAGTTTTATTTAAAAACTCTCTCTCTGATTTTTGCCAGTAAAAACTTTGCCACATTACAATCAATATGAATAAACATGCATTCAGTATTCAGAATGTGTTTTTTTCAGTAAAGTTCTGAATATGTAGATTAGATAAATACAGTTAAAAGAACACAGGTTTAGGTCATCACTTAGATTTGTTCAATTCATCACCTGATTTAATTTAATGAAGGACTGATTAGGTAAACTATATTGGATGTTACTCTAAATACTGGAGTTTAGATGGCTTAAGACTCTTTGCCTCTTCAGTTTTGGTAAAAGGCACCAAGACTCTCTTCCCACATTTCAACCTTAATAATCGATTGGCCAAAAGCAGACATTGTTCCCTTCACCAGAACTCCTTTTCCAGAATTTGTCACCCCCTGTCCCTTTTCCTCTGGTAAACGTCATACAGCCGTCATAATACATCTGGTTGAATAGATTATCATCACATGAAATGTATGGTTCATAAATGCCAAGAGCAAACCAGTTTTGATACCAGTTGTAGTCATAGGGCACAGAGAACATGATCGCCATTTCACCGAAATGTTTTGTTTCATTATTGAGGATTTGGTACGTCAGGACACAGACAGAACCACAAGCTGTGTGTGGAGTTTTGGAAAACGAGCATGCTTCTTGCGGCTTTTTTGCGATGGTAGGTTGTGGCGGTTGGTGACAGTATCCACTGGAGGTGTAGGTCCTGTTATACAGAAAGAGAGATTATAATTCAGAATGTAGAATACAGATCTGTAACAGGTAACAGACAGTGTGAAGCAGACAGACATAAAGGGAAAATTTAGTCATAAGTGGCAATTCAGGGCTCCATGCACCATTTCACAAGTAGGCCCATGAGATTCTGAGCAGCATGATGATTTTGGGTGCTAGTGCCTTTAAAATGCTACAGCAAAATCAGTTCATCTCTGATATGTGCATCACATTTCCTTCTTTCTTTCTTTCTTTCTTTCTTACTTTCTTTCTTATTTATTTATTCATCTATCTTCTCCAGCATTATCAATGATAACGTTAACAATATAAAAATACACTTTGCCATGGTTGACAAACTAACATAGCAATATGGCCCCTAAACTAGTATCAACTGAGAGATGTAGAGGTTGCATACTTTTTTAACACTACACTTCATAAACCATTTATACATCTAAATCCACCAAAGAAGCCATTTCCTCTCCATCACCACATAAAGATATCATGGTTAAAATGTCCCAGTTTAGTGCTATCAATAATGAAATATTAATTGAACTGGGTGATCTTACACCATCTATGAACTTGTTAAAGAATGTGTTTCACTGAATAGTATTGGACATACTTCAGACAGTAAACACCTCACTCATATTAGGCATAACACATCAAAACTAAAGTCTCTCTTAAAAAAGAAAAATCTAGAAGCAGCTCTATTGAGTATTTACAGACTGATTCCAAATCTACCTTTCATTGGAAAAATTATTGAGAAAATTGTCTTCAAGCAACTCACTGGCCTTTTTGTCCTTGAGTAGCTGTCTATACACATTTCAGTTAGGATTCTGCACTAATCATAGTACTGAGACTGATCTAATGTATGTTATTAATGACAATTAAATTCAAAGTCTGTTAAACTATCTGCTCTACTACTGCTTGATCTCTGCGCTGCCTTTGACACCATTGACCATAACATTCTTATAGATAGACTTAAGACCTGGGTTGGACTCTCAGGAACTGTTCAACAATGGTTCTGCTCAAGTCAAGTCAGGTCAAAGTTTATTTATATAGTGCTTTTTACAACAGGTGTCGTCACAAAGCGGCTTTATAGAAAAATCCGGGTCCAAGCCCCCATGAGCATTGCCAATGGCAACAGAGCAAGAGGAAGAAACCTTGAGAGGAACCTAGTCTCAAAAGGGAAACCCATCCTCCTCCAGTCGACACCAGATAGCAAACATCATCATCATCATCATCGTTAACCGCGTAGTCCAGCTAGGGTCGCGGTAGCAGTTAGGAGAGCAGAGAATCCCAGACGACCCTGTCCCCCGCAAATTCCTCCAGCTCATTCCTGGGGACCCCAAGCCGCTCCCAGGCCAAGCTGGAGATATAATCCCTCCAGCGTGTCCTAGGACGACCCTGTCTTGTCCCAGTAGGCCGTGCCTGGTACACCCCCACCGGGAGGCGTCCAGGGGGCATCCGGATCAGATGCCCGAACCACCTCAGCTGGCTCCTCTCAATGCGGAGGAGTAGCGGCTCTGCTCCGAGCTCCTCCCGGATGGCCGAGCTCCTCACCCTATCAAATAGAGTGTAGCCCGCCACCCTGCGAAAAAAGCTAATTTCTGCTGCTTGTATTTGTGATCTCATTCTTTCAGTCATTATCCATAGCTCATGACTATAGGTGAGGGTTGGGATGTAGACCGACCAGTAAACAGAGAGATTCGCCTTACAGCTCAGCTCCCTCTTCACCACTACAGTCCAGTACAGCGACCACATTACTGCTGCCACCTGTCCCAGCCTGCAGTCGATCACACGATCCCTCTTCCCATCACTTGTGAACAAGACCCCGAGATACTTAAACTCCTCCACCTGGGGCATGTCCTTTCCCCTTACCTGGAGTGGGCATGCCATCCTTTTCCAGGCTAAGACCATGGACTCAGACTTGGAGGTGCTGATCCGCATACCAACCGCTTCACACTCAGCTGCAAATTGCTCCAGTGTGCGCTGGAGACATCCATGTGATCCAGCCAAAAGAACAACATCGTCTGCAAATAGCAGAGACGCCACCCTCTGGCCTCCACACATAATGCCCTCCTGACCACGGCTACGCCTTGACACCCTGTCCATGAATATCACGAACAGGAGTGGAGACAGGGCACAACCCTTGCGGAGTCCAACACTAACACTGAAAGAGTCCGACTTAATGCAGAGTATACGAACACAGCTCTCACTCCAGGAGTACAGAGATTGAATGGCCTGGAGTAGCAGCCCCGGCACCCCATACTCCCGGAGCACCTCCCACAAGATATCTCAGGGAACACAGTCGTAAGCCTTCTCCAATGCCACAAAACACATGCAGACTGGGTTGGCAAATTCCCATGCCCCCTCAACAATCTGTGAGAGGGTGAAAAGCTGGTCCATTGCTCCACAGCCGGGACGGAATCCACATTGTTCCTCCTCAATCCGAGGTTCAACTATCGGTTGAAGTCTCCTTTCTAGCACCTTGGCATAGACTTTCCCAGGGAGGCGGAGCTGTGTGATACCCCGATAGCTGGCACACACCCTCCTGTCCCCTTTCTTAAAAATAGGGACCACCACCACTGTTCCCGAGGTCCATGCAATATTGCAGAGGCGTGCCAGCCACGACAGCCCCACAATATCCAGAGTCTTAAGCATCTCTGGACGAATCTCATCTATCCCCGGTGCTTTGCCACTGAAGAGCTTGCCAACTACCTCAGTGACCTCCACCAGGGAAATGGAGCTTGACACATCAGAAGCCTCTGGCCCTGACTCCCGTGAGGTAGGCATGTCTCCCGGATTAAGGAGTTCCTCAAAGTGCTCCTTCCACCGACTGACATTATCCTCATTTGAAGTCAGAGTTTCTCCACCCCTCCCGAATACAGCTTAGGCACAGCCACCCCGACCACTCCTGAGTCGCCGGACAGTTGTCTTGAACCTCGAACCGAAAGTCTTTTTCCATGGCTTCTCCAAACTCCTCTCACATCCTGGATTTTGCTTCTGCCACCATGGTGGCTGCTACCTTTTTTTGCCTGTCAGTACCTATCAGCTGAGTCAGGAGTCCTTCGGGCCATCCAGTCCCTAACGGCATCTTTCTTCAGCTTGACGGCCTCCCTCACCCCTGGTGCCCACCAAGGGGTTCTTGGGTTACCGCCCTGACAGGCACCAACAAGCTTTTGGCCACAGCTACTCCCGGCAGCTTCCATAATGGAGGTTTTGAACAGGGTCCATTCAGATGTCCCCTACCTCCTCCGGGACATGAGAAAAGCACTCCCGGAGGTGGGAGTTAAAATCATTCCGAACAGGGGCCTCCGACAGTCGTTCCCAGCACACCCTCACTATTCACTTGGGCCTACTAGGTCTGACCATTGGTCTTCCCTGCCATCTGATCCAACTCACCACCAGATGGTGATCAGTTGACAGCTCAGCACCTCTCTTCACCTGAGTGTCCAGAACATATGGTCCCAAGTCAGATGAAACGACAACAAAGTCGATCATTGACCTATGACCCAAAGAGCTCTGGTACCATGTACACTTATGAACATCCTGGTGTTCAAACTTGGTGTTTGTTATGGACAATCCATGCCTGGCACAGTCCAATAACAATTCACCATTTGGGTTTAGATCGGGCAGGCCGTTCTTCCCAATCACACCTCTCCAGGTCTCCCAGTCATTGCCAACATGAGCATTGAAGTCTCCCAGTAAGACCATGGAGTCTGTAGGCGGGAACCTTTCCAGAACCCCGCCCACTTGCTCCAAGAAGGCCGAATACTCCAACCTGCTGTTTGGTGCATAAGCATACACAACAGTCACAGTTTTCCTCTCTGCGATTTTAATTCGCATTGAGGCGACCCTCTTGTCCACCGGGACAAACTCCAACTGCACAGCTGCCAGCCGGGGACTCGTGAGTATCCCCACACCTGCCCAGCGCCTCTCACCCTGTCCAACCCTGGAGTAGGAAAGGGACCAACCCCTATCAAGGAGTTTGGTTCCAGAGCCGACACTGTGGGTGAAGCTGAGTCCAACTATATGTAGTTGGTGCCTCTCAACCTCCTGCACAAGCTCCGGCTCCTTCCCTCCCAGTGAGGTTACATTCCATACACCAAAAACCAGTTTCTGCCGCAGGGACCTAGGCCACCAGGGCCCCACCCCCCCGCAATCTCCCACTGCCTTTACGGCACTGCACCACTCCCCCATGCTCGACCTTGCGGGTGGTGGGCCCACATGGTCTCCCCACTTTGCCTGAGCCCGGCTGGGTTACGTGGGCTGCCTGGCCACCAGGCGCTCGCCGGGGGACGCTACCCCCAGGCCTGGCTCCAGGGGTAGGTCCCGGTGACCCTCTCCCGGGCAGGGTACACGATTGTCCGTGTCCATTTTTCATAGAGGATTTTTGGATCAAGTTAGTCTGGGTCTTCACTCCAGACCTGTTTGCCCTGGGAGACCCTACCAGGAGCATACTGCTCCCGACGACTTAGCTCTGAAGATCCCTAGACCACACAAGCCCTCGACAAGGCCCCAATCCAGGAAGGCCCCAATCCAGGAAGGGATAGCAAACATCATTAGTATAAAATATTAGAATACAAAACGGGGAAAACAGGTGGAGCAATGGTTAATTAGATAGTTTTAGTTTATGCAGCAGCAGCAGCATCAGGAGAGTCATTTCATGAGGGTGAGGTTTGCACAGCGTTGTACAGAATGAAGCCCAATGGTGGTCAAAATGGTCCAGAAGGCTGGCGAGCAGTGGGTACCCGATCAAGGCAGAAGAAGCAACAGCATCAGACGCACAGGATGGGCAACTCGGCAAAGAAAAGGAAACACACAGTTCTGTAAGGAGTGACTGATCACAAATTACAGTATTAACAGAGCAGCAGAGACTCTGGCAGGTCTAGTTATTACAGCCTAACTAAAAGGGAGAAACCAGAAGGTAACAGAGACGTGAGGCTCCTTGAGATGTCAGCGCCCCTGATGGTTCATAGTATGAGAGAAGCACACTCAGCTTAAAGCTTTATAGGTCAGTAAAAGAATACTGTAATCGATGTGAAATTTAACTGACAACCAGTGTAGGTTTGATAAAACTGGGTCAAACTCTCTAGTTCTTGTGAGGACTCTGGCTGCAGCATTCTGGACTAACTGAAGCTTGTTAAGGCTTTTGCTGGAACATCCAGACAGCAGGGCATTACACTAATCTAGCCTTCAGGTAATAAATGCATGAACTAACTTTCCTGCATCCTGCAGAGATAATGCATTTCATAATCTAGCAATACTGTGGAGATGCAGGAAGGCTATTCTACTAATATTTGTTATATGTGCGTCGAAGGACAGATCAGGATCTATCATGACACCAAGATTTTTTACAGATGAACCTGACACAACTGATAAACTATTAAGTTTTAAATATTAAATATTATACCAAAATATTAAGTGTTAGTAGCATATATAATATGAATAATGTAGGTCTTAAAACAGAGCCCTGTGGAACACCATACTTTACTTTTGCGAGGACAGATGATTCACCATTTACATTAACAAACTGATAGCGATCAGTGAGGTAAGATCAGAATCAGGAAAGATATAAAGGGGAGAGTCAAGATATATAATTTGATAGTTTGCAGGGATCAAGATTAGCTTTCTTAATCAGAGGTCTAATTACTGCTAGTTTAAGAGTTTTGGGATATAGCCAAGGCTAAGAGAGGAGTTTATTATTGATAGGATAGGCTTGGTTATTTTTGGCAAAATTTCTTTGAGTAAACGAGTTGGAATATACAAGTACAAGTAGAAGATTTTGCGGAGGAAACTATTTTAACTAGTTCATTTTGTTGAAGTAAGGTAAATGATTCCAGCCTCTCTGCAGTTGTTACAATATTCTCATGATTTAGACTGGCATTATAAGGCAGCAAGTTTGTAGAGTTTAACTGTGCATTCTGAATTTCCTGCCTAAAGTTTTCAATTTTATCACTAAAGAAATTCATAAATTCATTGCTGCTATAGGCTAATGGCATCTGGGGTTCAGTAACTGTTTGGTTCTTAGTTATTTTAGAAATTGTACGAAATAATAATCTAGGATCATTCTTATTGTTTTCTATGAGAGGAGAGATTTGAGCGTGCTGCAGTAAGTGCTCTTCTGTAGTCTATAAGGCTCTCCTTCAAGGCGGACTGAAACACTTCTAGTTTAGTTGGGCACCATTTTTCACTCTTTTTCGTTGTCTGACAGTGTTTTAAAGCTCGAGTATGATCATTATACCATGGGGCGAGTTTTTTCTGCCTTACTATTTTATTTTTTAATGGAGCCACATTATGTAGAGTAGATCGAAAAGTATCTTCTAAGAACTTGGTCATAATATCTAATTCGGTAGGATTAGATGGACAGCTGACAGAAGCTGATAATTGTGGGAGGTTTCTGATAAAGCTACCAGCTGTGGAGAAAGTTATAGTCCGCTTAACACAATAGCATGGTGATGCATTAGTGATACATTACATTACCACTAAAACGAATTTCATACGAGATTAGGTAGTGATCTGAGACTGCTGTGCTCTGGGGGAGAATGGCTAAATGATCTATGTTTACACCAAAGGTCAGAATTAAGTCTAAAGTGTGGCTGCAGTTTGAGTGAAACCTACAGAGTCTAAGATAGATATAAATGCCTTACTTAGTGCATCTTGAGGTTTGTCAAAGTGCATATTAAAATATCCGACAATTATTACTTTATTTGAATAATTTATTAAACTTGATAGAAAGTCTGACAATTGCTGTAAGAACTGAGAATACGGCCCTGGCGGTCTACAGATTGTAATTAGTGAAAAGGAATTCTTATTTGTTCCTTGATCACTTTTATTAAGAAAGAGAACTTCAAAAAAAGAGAGTTTATAGCCTACTTTCTGGCTCACGCCTAAAGCTTTAGTATGGATTTTTGATGCTTTGTTTTATTCAGGGAACAGATACAGTCTCAATTGGGTGGAACCTATGTGGCGTCTCAAGGCAGCTCGCAGACAGTCGGTTTAGCCTGTTTGTCTGCTGCCTGGCCTCGGCCCTGGTTTGTCAGCAACTAACTGTCCTACATACATCTTTTTACATTTTAATCTGAATTATTTTTGTCTTTTATCATTTGTGAAGGCTGTAGTATATAAAAGCTATTGTATAGATAAACTTACCTTGCCTATAAACAGCACTCTCACATAATCGTCTTTTCTGTCCAAGTGAGTCACTGACAGGTGAATGGCGGAGGATATAGCATCCTCTTTAGACCAGTTAGGGCGACATACAAACTGAAATAGATTCGCTACGTAAGGAAGACGATGCATGAACTGAAATGGATCCAGCCTAGCATTTACCACCTTTACTCTTCCTGGCACACCCTTTTCAACACTTTCTCCTCTAGTTAGCGGCATTACGCAGTCCTAAGGTCTGGTTTGTGAAGCAGCCTGAGGTCATGAAGCACCTTCAATAGTCCATCGTTCTCAACTGTAAATAGTGTTTAGTTGGCATGATAAACGATTATACTTGACTAATTTTTTATCTTACCATCAAATAGCCTACTTTAAAATATAATTTTTAAATATACCATCATCATACTCTTATAACTGATTGGTAAAGCTGTCAATGTCAGATTTTTTACATAAACATAATTGATGCTTTATTGATGACAGCTGACTGTCTCATTTTCCATAACTGGGGTGGCCAGACAATTTTTTCAGTGACAGTGAGTTCTGCAGGTTAATAACCCAGAAGCCCATTTCAGTCTGAGAGACTCTCAGCGACAACATTGATCTGTACTTACCTTGGATTTGCTAAGATGTATCCATCACTGCAATTGGTGATTTGAATGGCGACATTTCTGTGTGTGTTTATGCTCTGGGAAATTTGCTCAATGGAGGTGCCAAACAGGGTCGCGCTAGACAAAACAGTTGATGCTGCTGCAGCTGCCATTGCCTAATGAGAGTGGAAAAAGTATTAATTAATTGACCAAGTGGGTTTTAAGGCCTGTCATAGGATATAAAACATCATATTATTGGTTAGTATTAATTTGCTCTACCCACTGGTGCATGGTGAAATCATCATCAGAAGGCATTTTTGAGGCAGGACAGAAAAAGAAATTTTGACAAAAGACTACAGAAAATCAAGAACACAGGATCTGATGTACTGAGCCTATTACACCAATTTCTGCTTGCATGTTCTGTATGACCCTGGCACACAAGCCTAAACACTTTTATGGGCCGTGTACCTGGAAAACACTTTTCTGTCCCTCAGGCGCATGCATTTGAGGGAGGGACGCACAAAACATGTCGGGATTGCAAAAAGGGGGTGGAGATATTGAAAAAGCAGCTGATTACATATTCCACTCACTTAGCTAAATCTCAAAGACATGTTGTTGAGAGCATCCTTTAACAATGACTGCAGACAAAGTGGCTAGACAGACACAGAATCTGAAAAAAAATTTTTACACTGTTTTTACACTATTCATAGTAATCGATTGTATCATTAAGAGGGCCGCGTCACCATGTTGGTAGGTGAGCTGTAACTCTGCCTGTGCTCTGATAGAGCTTGTCTCATCACCATTACTGCAGATACAGCCCTGCAGGTGGATAAACACCAATAAAACAGACCAGTATGAACACAAAAGGATGAAAAGACACTTTAGATGCATCTCCAGAAAACACTATGAGAAGAAGATTAGCTAGATTGGTGGATCCGTATAACCTGCACATCTCCAGAGTTCAGAACATTCCAGTGTGTGATATTTTACAAAACTAATAAAAGAGATATAAAGCCAAAGTCAGCTTCATATTCACCAGCTTCTCATTTGAACTTTCTGTTCCACCTTGAAATGGAGCTGCAGTTACACTGTGGTGCCTTAAACACACAACCCCAATTCCACAAAAGTTGGTACGCTGTGTAAAATGTAAATAAATCGAAATAAAAACTGAATGCAATGATTTGCAAATCTCATAGACCCATATTTTATTCACAATAGAACATAAAAAACATATCAGATGTTGAAAGTGGGACATTTTACTATTTCATGAAAAATATTAACTCATTTAGAACTTGATGGCAGCAACTCATCTCAAAAAAGTTGGGACAGGGCCATGTCTACTATTGAGTAGCATCCCCTCTGTGCGCTGATAACAAGCTGGATGGTCCCTCTCCTCTTGAGTCCGCAGGACACAGCGTCCGTGGTTTCCAAAAAGAATTTCAAATTTTGATTCATCTGACCACAGAACAGTTTTCCATTTTGCCTCAGTCCATTTGTGGACTGTGAGCTTTGGCCCAGAGAAGTTGGCGGCATTTCTGCATCCTGTTTATATATGGTTCCTTCTTTGCATGATACAGCTTTAATTTGCATTTATGGATTGCACGGTGAACTGTGTTCACAGACAATGATTTCTGGAAGTGTTTCTCAGCCCATGCAGTGATTTCCAGTACAGAATCATGCCTGTTTTCAGTGCAGTGCCGCCTGAGGGCCCGAAGAGCACAAGCATCCAATATTGACCGTTGGCCTTGTTCCTTGAGTAAAGTGATTTCTCCAGATTCTCTGAATCTTTTTATGATATTATGCACTGTAGATGGTGGGATATCCAAAGTCTTTGCAATTTTACATTAAGGAACATTTTTCTGAAATTGTTCCACAATTTTTAGATGCAGTTTTTCACAGATTGGTGAACCTCTGCCCATCTTTGCTTCTGAGAGAATCTGCCTCTCTAAAATGCTCTTTTTATATCAAGTCATGTGTTTGTTGCAAATTGCTCCTCCAGCTACTTTTCCAGCCTTTTGTTGCTCTGTCTTAACTTTTTTGAGATGCTGCCATCAAGTTCTAAATGAGTTAGTGTTTTTCATGAAATGGTAAAATGTCTCACTTTCAACATCTGATACGTGCTCTATGTTCTATTGCAAATAAAATATGGGTCTATGAGATTGCAAATTATTGCATTCTGTTTTTATTTACATTTATTTACATTTTACACAGCATCCCAACCTTTTTGGAATTGGGATTGTAGAACAAATTACGAAAGTTGGCGAATATAAAGCCAACATCAGCTTACCTTACTAAATGCAATAATTTACCTAAATAAATGCATTAATTAACCTCAATAAACACATTACTTTACCTCAATACACAAATTACTTTACCTCAATAAATGCTCCGCTCAAATTTTCTCTTGGAGATGTTTAATGAGCAGCTGTTGAACGCGTCTCATTGGGTGATCTAACACCGCGTCCCAAACCTCACACTTCTGTACTTCACCTACTACACTTCTAATGGTATATGTGCTATTTTTACACACTATTTAGTGAGCTAGTATGCAGTTTGGGACAGGGTACTCGTAACGCAGCAGGAAATCTCAGCCGTTTAGATTTCAGCTTTCATTTGCTATCACTACAACAAATCTAAAAAATTAAGGCAATACATTCAAATATATCAGTTAATATGCTTTAAAAATGAGACTTAAAGTGATCCAAAAAACTATTGTGTTTTACTGCCTCTGCTTGATCAGTTATGGATTTGTCATCTCATTACAAACAGCCACAGCACTGCTGAATGAACTTTATGTTGCCTACCAAAATGGTGGCAGTGTGCTTGTGACATCATCGGAATACTATCAGTCAGATGTGAGAAGATGCAATACGGAATGTGCTGGGATGCACTTGCAGTCCATATTATCATTCAAACTCTGTTATCTTAGCCAGATCAAATATTAATCCTGTAGATCAGAGATCATCAAATCTATACCTTTAATCCAGTCTCCAGTCCTGGATTTTGCAAACACTGGTGGGTATAAGCCTAGGTGGGCAATCAACTCCATTAGCAGTTCAATTAACTACCAGTGTTTACGAAATACGGGACTAGAAACTGGACTCAACGTCCAGATTTGAAGACCTCTGCTCTAGATCATTGGTCTCCTGAAGATCCAAGTTCCAACCACAGTTGGCCACTCCTGCTCCAACTAATCAACCTCTTCCCAAGTGATTGGCTGGATCAGATATATTTGAGTTAATTAACAGGCAGGGCAGCTTATTGGATACAAATTGGAACTAATCTCTTCATGAAGGTAGCTCTCCAGGACCAGGGTTGAAGACCACTGCTGTAGAATGTTTTGGTGGGAAAGAACTTCATTAATTAACACTGTTTTCTTTTCATCACTGAAATGTATTTTGTTTTGTTTCGAGCTTCTTGATGGTTGCATTAAACCAGTTCATCTTGTAATTGTTATTCAGCCAATAGTGTTTTTATTTATTGTTGTTGCTTTGCACAGAATTAAGTAAACACTAACATTATCTGTGTGATAATTGTACTTTATGTGGCTAACATTAGCCTATCAACTGAATTATGTAGCTAACATAGCTTACCCAGCAAACTTGGCTTGAATAGACTTTATATCGACACGCTTCTGACAATGTGTGGTACATTACTTCTGATAAGGTTTTTTTGTGTGCTAAAGGTTGGTCATGTTTGTGTTTTTTTCTGAAAATGTTGTCATCTTTTCTGTTTACAGGTTGGAAATAACATGACAGAAATTCTGCAGCAAACTTAATAGATGTGTTTTCAGTTTAACAGTAACCCAATAATAATAGGGTAGAACGAGATGGGATGAACCCAGTACTGGGTTAACGTAACCATATTTTAACCCAGACTGTTGGGTTATTCAAGTCAGATTAACCCAGTGTGTTGTGTTATATAGTGACCCAGCACTGGGTTATGGATAGTGCCCAAATTGAGTTGTTTTTAACCCAGGATTATTTTGAGTTTGGGCAGACCTAACCAATTAAACATTTTGGGTTTTTTTTGTTTGTTTGCTTTGTTCGTTTGTTTTTGAAGTGAAAAGGAGTAAAGACAAACTCTGCAGCAAAAAAAAATAAATAAATAAATAAAGAAATTCTTAATAACACCACCTTCAGGGTAGATTTTGGGGTATGTTTAGGATCATCTTCCTGTTGTAGAAGCCCACTTTTTTTTTAGCTTCAAATTCTTGACTGACTGAGTTGCTTCCAGAATGTGCAGACATTTGGTAGAATCTATTCTTCCTTCTACTAGTACAATTTTTCATGTGTCACAACTCCAGGGTATAATAGATCCACCACCATGCTTAACAGTTCAGAAAGTCATTTTTTTCATCAAATGCTGCTTCTTTTTTTCTCCAAACATACTTTTGGTGACTGTGACTAAAGAGTTTACTTTTTACTTCATCAGTCCAGAGCACTTGTTTCCAAAATGCCTCTGGATTATCAAGATGTTGTTTTGCATACTTTAGCCATTGACTTTTGTGATGAGGTTGCACATTTCCTTTTGGTCACTCTTTCATGCAAATCATGTTTGTTTAAGCAACACTGCTCATTAGAACAGTGCACCAGCACTCCTGCTTGACCTAAACCCTCCTGAATGTCCTTTACTTTCAGATGGGGGTTTTGCTTTGCCTTTCTGGCAAACATATGAGCAGTTCTACAACATATGAGCAGTCCTACAACATATGAGCAGTTCTACAGCATATGAGCATTTCTATCTGAGAGTCCTCCAGATCTTGCCTTGACTTCCACAGATCCCTTTAACTGCTATTTCTTAATGACATTTCATACAGTGAAAACTGCAAGCTGGAAGTGCTTTGATACATTCTTATAGCCTTCTATTGTCTTGTAGGCATCAATTAACTTCATTTAACTTCATTTAAAGCTCCATTGAGTGTTAGCACAAGGATTGAAGAGTTAGAGAATTTATTACGCTCTGGAGTTCTCATTGGCTAACGGTTCCTAATGGCTATTTTTTATGTGTCAATCAAGGCTTTACAAGTTGAGGCTTACAGCTTTAAGTTCAGAAATGTACTGGAAGGGTGTTCAAACCTTTGCACATACTACATTAACCTTTTTTTTTTTTCTATATTTTAAGTTTAGCAGATTTTTTTTTATTTCTCAAATAGCGTCCTGCAAATGTTGCATTCACAACTTTTCTCTTCAAAAATCAACAAAATATGTCATGTGGCCAAGGGTGCCTGAATGTTTGTGTAACTTTAATGAGGGTGCCCTGTTGCATTTACCAACAAAAGTCCCACTTTTGCTGAGTTCACCTTAAATATGACTAGTATTTTCCAGGCAATTTCAAAAGTCATTAAAAGATTTAAACACATACCTGACCAAAGAAGTCTCTCAGTGGTTGTTTAAGTGTGTAGAGCTGGAGTTTGTCTTATAGAGATGAATCTTAGGTTGTCCTATTAAGTCAGACTGCTTGTATCTATATAACAGCCTATACAACCACAAGAGGAAGGAAATGACCAATTGATATAGATCCGTCTTTGACCAAGAGTTCTTGTTCTGTAAACTTTATTAAACTTAACCACGTTAAGAAGTACTCTGTGTAGCGGCTCTTCCTTTCACTTTCCTTAGCCGCTTATGGAGCAGGTTACTGGTAACAAGCCAGATGCAAAAAACTTCTCAGAAACAAAAATCTTCATGCAAAAAACTTTTACTATTCCAGTATTGATGTTTACAAGTCATAGTTGGCTCATTAGGATTTCGGTCAGAAAACTATGTTACTCCTAACCTGACCGTCTTAAATCTGTTAACTCAACACTCACATTCAAGGACGCTGTACGGAATGTTCCATTACTATATTACACGGGGGGGGGTTTCTTTAACTGCAACAACAATCCAATAAATATCATGTCAAGCAATTATATTAAGGTTTAACACAATATCAGAATAATAAAAAAAAGCAAATGTTTACTGAACACTATAAGATTCTTAAATGGCTCCTACATTTCCGGCCCCTAATTGTCTATGCAGTGGGCAGAACAATTACCAAACTTACTCAACAAAGGAGCCATTATACGCACATTTGATAATACTTATAGTCATAAGAAGCTAAATAAGACTAAATAAAGTCATTTCAAGAGTTCAGTGAGTCTCTTTATATTGCCTCTTGTATCAGACACAGTTTACTCACGGGTCTTCTGCCGCACCTGGAGTAGTGGGAAGTATTCTTTTACCCACCTTGCCCAAAAGATGTCAGCAATATATTGGACCTGCCGCCAACGCCGTCGTGCATACTGATCATCTTTAGAGAAGACTCCAGGTGGGATGTTCAGTTCCATCTTCAACAGCAACAGGTGGTTGGATTGTCAGATTATTTTGTGAGGGGTCTGCTGCTGATTATGGCCTCCACTTCGCACATGACAGTCTGAAGGCCCTCATCATCCAATGACTTGAGCACAGAGTTCATGATTTTTCTCATGATTTGAATCTGCTTTTCCCATACGCCGCCATGATGAGAGGCTGCAGGAACGTTAAAGATCCACCTGATATCCTTCTTCGTCATCGCATTCTCAATTATACCTTTGGTTCAGATCTTTCTGCGCCTCCTGCAGTTCTCTCTCTGGACCGACAAACTTTGTACCATTATCTGATCGCATGATCTTAACCTGTCCTCTTCTGCATAAGAAGCGACGCAAGGCGTTAATACAGGAGTCAGTATCAAGACTGTGAGTGATTTCGATGTGCACAGCTCTTACTCTTAGACAGGTGAGAGTTACCCCATATCTTTTGACTCTGCTTCTTCCACACTTAACTTCAAAGGGCCCAAAGTAGTCTACCCCGACACTGGTGAAAGGAGGCTGATCGGGTAAGGCGCGGTCCTCTTGCAGATCTGCCATTTTTTGTTCTCCTGTCCTGCTGTTGAGCCTTCTGCATACTGTGCATTTTGAAATAATTTTCCTTATAGCTGAGCTACTTTGAGGAATCCAGTATTTCACTCGCAATCTGGCGAGCATGTAATTGCGACCATAATGCCCAGTCTCCTTATGAATGTGTTGGAGAATAAGAATTGCAACCCGAGAATGTTTTGAGAGGATTGCAGGGTGCTTTATTTCTTCCGGCATTGACAATTTAGAGAGTCTGCCACCCACTCTTAGTATTCCGTTCTGCAGAATGGGATCTATAGATCTGACTGGTTTTCTTCACGTGAGCATTTTTCTCCAGGGCCTTGATTTCATCAGAGTATTCCTGCTGTTGACTGAATCGTATAAACTCTGTTTCAGCCTTGTCCATGTCCTCTAGAGAGAGAGAACTTGATTTCAGAGTCACCTTGTACTTCTCAACGCGGGTTCTGGTAAGTTCGTCTTTTCTGTTTGGGGAGCTTTCAGACTGGCTGATCTCATTCCTCAATGCTTTCCTCTTCTCTTTCAGACACAGCAGTACATCTTTGAGCCACAGCAGCCACGCTACTGCTCTCTTTAGCCTTGGCCAATCCGAGTAGTAGTCAACCAGCTTGTACATTGCGGAAGCCCTTTCTTCCACTCCTACCATGCTTACCACTGCACTTATCTCCACTTATCTCTGGATCATTTTCTATGGATGAGCCTCCTAGGTCAGGTTGCTCTGGCCATTCGTTTCTGGATCTCACTAAGAAACTTGGTCCTTGTATCCAAGTCTTGCTCTGAATGAAGTCCCTCATTTTCATTCCTCTAGATGCTTGATCAGCTGGATTAACTGCAGACTGTACATACCGCCACTGTGATGGCTGTGAATGTTCCCTTATCACTGCGACTCTATTAGCGACAAATGTCTTGAAGCGACTGCTTTCATTTGTGATGTATCGTAGAACTGTGGTGCTATCTGTCCAAAAATGGGATTCTTGGAGTTGGAATTGAAGTTCATGTCGCAGGATCTGATCCATTTTAACAGCAAACACAGCTGTGGTCAATTCCAGTCTCAGAATTGTGACATGCTTTAAAAGTGCCACTCTTGCCTTTCCCATCAAGAGAGTGCAGTGCTTCTTGTCCTTGTCATCAGTCAGGAGCAGGTAAGTAGCAGTATCATAGCCATTTTCTATTGCATCAGCAAAGTGATGAGAAATTCTGCAGACTGCAGGGGTCCAAATCCATTCGGCTGAACATATCTTCTTACAGCAAAGCCTTCTAGCAGTTGTAGGTCTGCCAACAATTCTTGCCATTTCTGTGCACGCTGGCCCTTAACCTCTTAATCCCAACCATGTTTTTCCTCACACAAGGCTCTCATCATCAGTTTTGCTGGCAGAATGGAGGGTGCCAAGAATCCAAGAGGATCATATATGGAGCTCACAATCGACAAGATTCCTCTCCTTGAGATAGGCCTGTCTTGTAGTTTCATCTGGAATTTGAAGCTGTCTGAGTTAGTGCACCATTGAAAACCCAGGGCGCGCTCCATTGGAAGTATGCTGTGGCTTAGGTCCAAGTCCTTTACTTCGGTGGCTTTACTTTTTCTGGGACCCTGACCTGATAGAACATAGATTTGATGTCCGCGATTAATGCCACCGGTTCCTGTCTGAACCACGTCAAGACACCAACAAGCATGTTGGTGAGGATTGGACCTTGGAGCAGCTGCTCATTCAGAGACACTCCTTTGTATGCAGCTGTGCAATCAAACACCACACGTATCGTCTATCTACCCTGCCATCACAGCAACTTAGCTGTTCCCTAGGGTCCTGGACTGCATAGCCACTCTCAATTATCTCTTTCACAAAGGTCTTATAATCTTCATGGAAGTCTGCATTCTTTCTGAGCTTGCCTTTGAGGTGGATGGCACGTTGTTCAGCGATACGATTGTTTGGCATGATTAGGGACTCATCTTTTAATGGCAGACCTATGCAGTAGTGGCCATCAACTAGCTTTGCAGAGCTAGCGACTAGACGCATAAACTTGTGGTCTTCCAGTGACATTTCTTCTTTCTCCTCATAGCTGCGCTCTGGGAAGTCTGCATCATATTGCTGGTGTAACAGCTCTTCTATTTCCAGGACAGAGAGACGATTGACTGTATGGCTCTGCAACAGGTCACTGTCCATCCCCAGACCACATCGTCCTCTCAATGGCCCACCAACCACCCAACCAAGGGCTGTTTTTACTGCATGAGGACCTTCTCCTTCACTATGTACAACCTGCCATGGCTTCATTGCCTTTGGAATGTTGGTGCCTATGAGTAGACCCACCTCAGCCTGTACACTGGGTAGACATACCTGTTTCAGGTAAGGCCACCATGTGATGTCTTCCTGTCAGGGGATATTCTCTTTCTTCACTGGGATATAGCTGCTGGTGAAGACCTTAGGCAGTTCAATGTAAGTACACTCCTCTACACCACACACCTTCAGGTCTGAGAGAATGAAAGTCTTCATCACCTTACCATCATTTGCCTTGTTGCAACTCATTGTTCTAAGAAGAATTTGTGTTTTTCGCCCTCTAAGTTTCAGTTGTCTCTGGAGGTCCTCAGTGCAAAAGGTTGCTGTGCTGCCGGGATCAATGAACACATATGTTTCTACATACTTACCACTCTTCTTTGATTTGACCCTGACCGGCACAACAGCTAGTGCACACTCCACTCCAGCCCCAGTATACATGCATGCTTCTCGTTCCAGTGATATGCAGGCACTGGAGAGCTATTTGTTTTCAGCATCAGCTTCTTCCTTTCCGTCAGTAGCCACACTGTCTTCCTTGTCCACATGCAGTATGTCTGGATGTTGCTGATGGCATGTTTGACGCTTGGCTCTCTTCTTGCAGTCCTTGCTGCAATGTCCCTGTGTAAGACACCCGAAGCAAAGCCCTTTAGACTTCAAAAAATCTATTCTTTCTTCATGTGGTAACTGTTTGATCTTACTGCATTCTGCAATCATGTGTTTGTTATGGCAATAGACACAGTGTTTCTGAGATGCAGCTACAGCAGCTTTTTTGTTTGTCACATCTTTTTCATTATTCTCTTTAGAAGCTGAAACATCTGTGATGAAGCTACTTTCCCTTTCGTCCTCCTTTCTTGGATATCCTTTCCTTCTTAGACTTGTCTTTTTTGTCTGCTGATGGATGACCTTCCAATAAATTGCCAAACAGTGGGTCCATGATTACTTTAGCCTGTAGAACGATGAATTCAACCAGTTCTGAGAACCTGGCCCATCTTCTTCCTTTCTCTTGAATCTCAAAGGCTATTACTCTCCACTTCTCACGCAATTTGTAAGGAAGTTTTGAAACAATGACCTTAGTAGTACTTGGTATTAGTAGGATTATCTATTTCCTCCATGAATTCCAGATCACCCATGGTGTTCTTGCATCCAGTCAGAAAAAGTGCATATGCATTCAATGCTTTACCATCTTCTGATTTGATAGGTGGCCAGTTAAGTGTTTTGTCCATGCAGGCACTGGCAATTTTCAACCCGTCACCATAGTGCTTCTGGAGTAGCCTTCTGGCTTCTTCATAGCCTCTTTCTGGTGCCATATGCTCACAGCTACGGACAAGCTCCTGTGGTTCACCACTGGTATACTGCTCAAGGTAGTAAAATTTGTCCTGAGGACTTTCAGCCCTGCTGTCTACAGCATGCTCAAATGCCCGAATGAAGGACTTATAGGAGAGAGGGTCACCTTTAAATACTGGCACATCCTTGCGTGGCAGACTTGACAGATTATGCTGCTTGACAAGCATTTCGGTGATGACACTCTGCCTATGCAGCACCTCCTGGAGGTCCCTCTCATGTCTTGCATTTTGTGTTTGACTCTGCCACTCTGACCGATGCCTTTGTGTACATGGACATTCTGAGACCTGTAATGGCATATCTAATAGCCTTGAGGTAGCCTTTCTTTGAATGGAGGGATGTGTTTGTGTATAATCCTCTTGTTTTCCTTCTACTTTAACTCTGGATAACCTCTTAGAGAAATAGCTGTCCGTGCCGCTTTGCTCATCCTCATATACTTCCAAAACCTTCAGCCGTGCACTGGATTCAGCCAGTGCAGTTTCAACTGCTAGCTGTTCCCTTTTAGCTTTAAGTTGTGCTTCTTGGAGATCAAGGGCTTGCTTTCTTTCCAGAGCTGCAGCATGTGCGACCAGTGCTGCATGTTCAGCCTCCTCTCATACGCACCGAGGACAATGAGCTATGTTCGGAACCTGCTGATCGACATGAAGTTATAGAGCCATGCTTGCTTTTAGGTCTGCAGTCTCTTAAACTAATCTGTGAAACACTTCTCCCATGTCCACTTCATCCTCCACTGCTTCATACAGGACATCTTTTCCAGGATCTGTAATGTTTCCCTCATTTTGTTTAACATCATGCTGGAACCGGATCCATTCCTTGGTTTTCTCAGTAAAACTTGTTACTGTTGCCATTTTAGTATTAAACCATTCCTGATCTAATTCCTTTTCTTCCTTGTCAATCAAGGCAACTACTGCATCATTAATCACTGAAATTTCTTCACACAAGTTAAAGAAATCGCCTTGCAGCAGCTCTATCATTTTGCAAAAGTTGCCATCATCTGCCATGAGATCATCCAACTTTTTCATTTTACGGTAAGCTGAGCAATTTTCCCTTTTCTGGTTCCAGTAAGTCTGTGCAACTTCTCATTTAATGCCCTTTCCGTGGGTTTTGGCGTTCTACTTTGCCTATATTCTTCAATGGTAAGCTGGTTTCTAGCACTTTCAGCCATCTTTAATAATCAATGCACAATCTGCCAGGCAAAAGTTCCAAAAATTCCTTTTTTTTAAAGAAAAAAATACTAATGCACAGCTGTTTCCATCCAAGGTGCAAGATTACCAAATTGCTCCAGACGTGGCTAGCTTAACCAGTTACTTTATCATCGTATGGCATTAGTTGGTACGGCTTCTTTTTACTTCTTATTGCTTGATTACATCCGCTCACCTTCAATGTCTTTGTCTGGCACACCTTTCCAGTTTCAGTCATTTGACGTTCGTCTTATTTTTCCGTTTCTTTCAGACACGGGAAAACGGGTCGACTTCTAGACTTCCAATGAGCAGAGTTTTCTGACAACATGTAGCGGCTCTTCCTTTCACTTCCCTTAGCCGCTTACGGAGCAGGTTACTGGTAACAAGCCAGACGCGAAAAACTTCTCAGAAACAAAAATCTTCATGCAAAAAACTTTTACTATTCCAGTATTGATGTTTACAAGTCATAGTTGGCTCACTAGGATTTCGGTCAGAAAACTATGTTACTCCTAACCTGACCGTCTTAAATCTGTTAACTCAACACTCGCATTCATGGACGCTGTATGGAATGTTCCATTACTATATTACACGGGGTTCTTTAACTGCGACAACAATACAAGTAAATATCATGTCAAGCAATTGTATTAAGGTTTAACACAATATCAGAATAAAAAAGCAAATGTTTACTGAACAATATAAGATTCTTAAATGGCTCCTACACTCTGTATTTGCAAAAGTATCCAGATAGTCCTTCTAATCAAAGAAAGAGTGGAAAGAGCACTGAAAAGCCCTACTTAAGTAAGTGTACTGTTACTATAGTGATAATT